CCCCGAAGGCCCAGTCCCTCAGCGCGGAAGGCTGGCGACTGTCTCCCGCTTCAAACCTGCGTCTGCGGACCCCTCGCCCGGTCCCTCCTTACCCATCCTCTGTCTGGTCAGCCCCCATTGTCCCCCACCCCCACGCCGCCTCCCTCTGCCCCTTCCATGCCCGTCCTCTGTCCTGGCCTCCCTCTGTCCTGCACGTTCAGCCTCTCCTTCCTACCACTGAAGAGACAGTCTTGGAAGGAACATGGGCACGGACACTTGGGAAAGCAGTTTGGCGATTCTTTCAGAGCTAGACATAAGTTTACTAGGAGACCCAAGAATGCCTGTGCCAGGAATCTATGAGGACTTAGGTTCATATGCACAGACGTCCATAGCAACTCTGTTCCTAACAGCCAGATGGAGATAGTGGAAAGGCCACCGGCCGCGCAGCAGCACTGATGTGCGTTACAGCACCTGTGAGCGCAGATGCGGAAGAAGGCAGATGCAAAACACCAAGTTTTATGTGCCTTTCATCTATAGGAAGTGTCCAAAAAAGCAAGTGGACAGAGACGGGCCGGTCAGGGGTGACCTGGAAAGAGACTGGGAAGGGGGAGTGACAGCAAACGGGCACGAGGGAATTTTTGTGGGTGTGAAGTGTCTAGAACTGGATTGTGGTGACAGTTGCAGACTCTGTGAACTGGTTAAAAATCATGGACTGTGCATTGGTGGGTTTTACGGTACGTAAATTATACCTCAGTAAAGCTGTAAAGAGGACAGGGGGAGGGAGAGGAGAGAAGGGAAAGAGAACTGTTAAGAGAAAGAAGCGAGTCCTCCCTGGAGCCCAAGTTCTCCCCAAGCAACAATTCCTCACCTCCGTGTGCCACATAGCAGCCTAGCAACCACCAGCGGGTCAGTGGCCATGCTCAGGACGCCCCCAGCAGCAGGAAGGGCCACGCCGCTGGGCGCCAAATACTCCCCAAGCAACCCAGCCTTGGCCAAGCCCACAGGAAGTGCGGTCTCGCCTGATACCCCGTCTTCCTTCCAGACCTCACCTTTACCCACACCCTGCTCAGGCACAACCAGCTCCTCCCCCCATAACTGACCCCCTTCTCCAGAACTTGGCCTCCACCCCAGGAGGCCATTTCAATGGCCACTCCTGGGGGCCCCACTATGGCTCACCTCCCCAGAGGCCTCTTCCCCTACTGGCCTGGGGCCACTGCTTTCTCCCTCCCTCCTCACCCCCACCTTCAGTCCCCTCCGAGGGTCCACCTTCAGGGGGGCCTTCGACCAGCACAGGCCTCCAGTCTGGCCCTGCCTTCTTTCTCCACAGCTCAGAGGCACCCCCTGCTGACGCCTGCCATAGGGCCCTGCAGCCTTCAGAAGCAAAACAGCTTGCCCCACGTGCCCAGGGTGGTTCCCGATCCAAGGGGTCTGGAACCCAATGAGCCCTTCCTCTCTTCGGGCCTTTGCACCCACAGGGCCTTCTGCTTAGGGTGCCTTCCCCCCAGCCTGAGGCCTGGCTGACCCACTCTTCCTGCAGGCCTCAGCTCACTAGGCACTCACCCCAACCCTGCCCCATCCTAGACGGTGAGCCACAAGGCGGGGGGAGCAGAGTCAGGAGGCTCTGAGTTCTTCCCAGTGCTGCCTCTCCCAGCAGTTGGGGGCACCCACTCCCCACTCTGTACAAGCCCTGGCCACAGAGCCCCCAGTCCGTGGGCCTTCAAAAGACACCGCCACCCCAGCCCTGACCCCACCACTCAGAAACCCAGCCTCACTTAGCATCCTCCCTCCTCCTGGTGTTTTCCCATCTGTCCCCAGAAGCACTCCAGCTCCCACCCCTTGGAATTCCATGAATCACCCAATCTCTCTCCCTCTCTTTCCCTCTCTCTCTCTCTTCTCTCTCCTCCTCTCTCTC